TATTTGGGGTGAAAATTGCCCCCTAATCCAGGAAAGACTATCGTAAACTTGTAATATGAATAAAATATGGGATGACTTCCCCACCACAGTCGTGCTCGGGATGTTGACATGAACGACATTTCGAGACTGCGGTGAAGGTTGCCCCGAGCCTTAGAGAAGTTGTGAAATACTTTGTATTTGAATATGATGCAAGAAGACAAACCCACTACAATCGTTCTCGGGACGTTTACGTAAATGACCTTTTGAGACTGCAGTGAAGGTTGCCCCCTCATCGAAGAAAACTTTAGAGATGGTCTTCAAGATGTGAAAGAGGTTCCTTCGCCAGTTGGATGAGCTACATCATTTGCAAATGAAGTTGGGGATCAACGTCTCGGAGTTGAAGACATTGTTGAGTGGTGTTTTGTTTCCACAGACAGCGCCAAACTGATGTTTAATAGAAAATTTGAGGCAGTAGAGTAATGGATTATCGTCTTAGCGTTGTACGAGAATTCAACACACACAGATAAAAAAATAGAAGTAAGCAAGAGGAGACACATAAACTTTTTATGTGGAAAACCATAAAGTTTAGCCCTGTTGAAATAATCCACTATGAATGATGAGTACACAAGTCCATTCTTCGCTTAAATTAGGGAAGATAAAGTTACAAAATTATATAACTAAAATCTGACTACAATTCTTGGTGACAGCATGCTACAAGGGTCATTGTTGATTGTTGTGGAGGTAGTAGTCTGTTGTGAGTGTTGTAAATGGTTGTTCTATAAGTGTTGATTAACTAGAGAAAACTTAGTAAGTAGGTGCGGGAACTATGTAGCACATATGTTGTAGTGGTGAGTATGAATGACGTCCATAAGTTGCGGGGGTTGGATTCAGGAGCTACACGAGCAATGAAGCATGTAAGAGTATGAATAACTTTCGTAGACTGCGGGGGGCAGAGATAATATTTCCGGATATATATATATATATATATTATTTAACACGAATCTCAAAACATTACACAAATCTCGAGATAATATTTCTAGTAAGGGATGTTCAAACCATGACATATGGCTTACTCCTACAGTCGGTTATCTCCCCTATAGTCTTTCCCGCTGTCAGACCTCCCTCATGCAGTTTTTCTCGCCGTCGGATCTACCTCAACAAAATTTTCCTTGCAGATTTTGGCTAGCTCTTCCCAAGGAAAGCACTGCTCTTTCCTGCAGCCTTTTTGCAGCCTTCTCCGAGCACTACAACTTTCCTGCAACCTCTCTGCAGTCTTCTTGCAGCTTTCCTGCAATTATCAGTCAACCAGTGACTTACAAATTAATCGATTGAGCTTAGCCCTCGTCTAGACCACTCTCAGGCTTCGACACTCTCATGTTTCGACACTCTTAGGCTTCAACATTATAGGCTTCAGGACTTTCGGCTTCAGCATTTATGATTTGAGAATCATTGGAGTTTTTTGGCAAATTGATGTTGCATGTCCAGTGAGCATACCAGAGCCGATGTTTTCAAATTCAAGTTGAATATGATTTTCAACTTGAGGGGAAGTGTTGAAATATCTAATTTAAACTACATGATTTATTGTCTTTCCTGTTAAGACTTATAATAGAAATAATTTATTCCTAGAAAAGTTATGAGGAATAAATTCTTTCATTAATATAAGAAGATATTTTCTTTTCATATATTAGAAATTATTTGTTTTCTTAATTTATATTAATTCTTATTATCTTCTAATAATCAATATGAATTAATTATTGAAGATATCAGATGATATATCTTTCCTTTCATATCATTTCATTTTTTATTATTTTTTCTATTATAGTATTATTTTTTCTTTTCTATTATAGGATTCTTGTAAGAGTTATCTATACCTCCGTTCATATCAATGAAATTATTCCACCACATTATTCTAAAATTCATCAGATAGCAATTGCACCTGCTCTTCATTAATTAGAGATCCACAAGAAAATAATATGTTTTTGCAGATCAGTTTTCATACAAAGAGATTTTGTGATAGTGATTAACCTTTTCTTTTAATGCTGAAGCCTGAAATTTTTGTTAGACGACGTTGCTATTTTGCAGATATTCGAGCATTTTGTACTAAGAAGCTCTTTTGTTAAGCTCAATCCCACTTTGTTTTTTCTTCATTCATTTTATCAATGTTTTGTTCTGAAATGGGCCTTTCTTTTGGTTTTGGCAGAAGCAATAAAGAAGGAATTTGATGGTAATTGTTCAGTTGAGGCTTACGACAATCAAAACTATTTACCGAAAGATCTTGCAGTGCTTTGGAATGCTGAATTTGTTTAATTTGTTCAAGCTAAGTAGAGTAGCTCTTTAATCAACCATCAGCTGTTGAAAATTCTTTGAGGAACAATAGGTTCAATAACTTGCGTTCATATGTCAAACTTCTGCGTTATGGCCATTCTTGACACAGCTTAGTCACAGTGACCTCTGCATTTTAAATGTTTGAGCTTTGGGGCATTTACACACATACCACCCGATTCCTGCGTACTTACATATCTAATGTCAAAACTTTGCTTTTTACATCTACATGATCCAAATTATTCATGTCACATCAAAAATACCACCAATCATGCATTGTATTGTACAAACCACACAATTGCATTTTAATGCACGTTTAGTGAAAGGTGTGATTGTCAGGTTTGTAAACGAATGCATCTAGCATCATGCTAATACCATGTATTCTTAGTGTCTTTTTACCCTTTTTTTTAAATTGGTTCTCATCAGATATTAAAGTGAAAAACTAATGAGCAGATTTGAGTGTTTCAAGTTTTCATTGAATGAATCTAATGAGTTTTCAAATTTAATAACCTCTATCACTCTACAGATCTAAATATTTGATTAATGATGTAAAAATATGATTCTAATTTTCAGCAAATGATTTTGGCATGGTTCTGCAATTAACAATCTCATTTAAGTTATGTTTTTGCAGATCTATGGTTATAACAATATTAATAAATAGAGGCGGAATAATCATTTTCCCAGAAACAACTACCCCACAGCTGTTTTCACATACCTGTAATAAACATGCAGTCTGCTTCCCCACATTAGCTTCTTGGGACAGCGCAGCTGCAGCTGAAAAACCGAGAAGTTGCAGATGCCCCAAATAGACCATTAGTTTTTGTGATGGGAGGTTGGTGTCGTGGTCATTAGATATTGTCAGTCAATATCAGATTTTGCCTGTAAGATAACCATCTGTGATATCCGGATAACAGGACTAAATTCTTAATTTCAGGCAATATCCTTAAATACGAAATGTGCATGTGTCATGTTAGGCCATGATGACTACTTTTGTGAAGACAGACTTAAGTTGCCTTCTCGAAGAAGACGGGGGTTAGTCATATCAGACTCTCTATCAAGTGAGCTCGATTGAATCACTTTGGCAGGTGGACTCAATTCAGCCACATCAACAACTGAGCTCAATTTCGATAAAGATGAATAATACAAAAATTAGAGCGAGAAAAACACAACAAAGCAAATAGAACTTCATAATTTTTATTTTTTATTTTCATACCATTTACAATAAGAAGAAATTTTTATGTAACAACTCTAAAGATTAAATATAACATTTTTATCCCTAAACTTTAAGTATAAATTTTCAATTATTTGAAAAAAAAGTTCAAAGCCATAAAATATTTCTCTTTTTTAAATTATTTTGAGTTTTTTTTTATATATTTTCAAATTGTCACAAAAATACACTAATAAATTATATTTTCATAAATCACATCAAATAATAAATTAAGGGTCTGCATGGGGCAACTGCAACTTAATTAAGAGTAGTTGTAAAGCTGCTGAGTAATAGTGTGATGCTAAAAAAGCTGCGGTGATTATTACAAATAATTTTTTTAAGTTGAACCATAACTAAAAAACTGTTTACCGCACATTGAAAAAACTCAGATTTGAACCACAACACACCTCCACCCCCAAACAGATTCTATGGTCACCCATCTGGCCGCTGAAACTTTACCTATTAAATATTCATAATATTAATTAACAGAGTTAATGAAATAATCTTGTCTTCATATTTATAAAGATTATGTTTTGATAACTTAGATCGCTCCCTTTCATGTTAATTTAAAATTAATCTGACGGTCCCACCACTCGCTACTGGGCTTTTATAAATTAAAAAAATAAAATAGGCATTTACATTCATACCACCCAATTAAGATTTACATATCTAACAACTGAACTTTAGCCTCACCTAAATTTTCCATATTACATTAAAAAAATACATAAAAAAAGTTATTGAATGAAATACATTTTTTTAATGAAAAATTAATATAGCATATATATATATATATATATATATATATATACTTCATGGTATTAAAGACCTCAAATCTTGTATGAGAAAGGGTAAGAATTAAACAATATATAAGCAAGAAATAAAAAAAAATTTAATCGTGGAATGATTAAAAAAAAGTGGTAGATACATTAGTTTAGGTGTTATATATGTAAATTTTGAGGAATTTGAAAATTTACGTATTAAATGTGTAAATATATTAGGATTGAAGAAATATATAGGTTTATACTTGAATTTAGGAGCTAGGTATAGAATTGAATGGTATAAGCTAATAATCTGTATAGTTTATATATGAAATTTAAAGGTTTAAGTGTTATATATGTAAATGTACACGTACTTGACTAATCTGCATACTTAGATTAGGTGTTATATATGTAAATTTTGAGGAATTTGAAAATTTACGTATTAAATGTGTAAATATATTAGGATTGAAGAAATATATAGGTTTATACTTGAATTTAGGAGCTAGGTATAGAATTGAATGGTATAAGCTAATAATCTGTATAGTTTATATATGAAATTTAAAGGTTTAAGTGTTATATATGTAAATGTACAAGTAATTAAGAAATCTGCATACTTAGTGCCCGTTTAGGACGCCTCCTTCGTGTTTGAAAAACAGGTTAACGTTGGATTTTTGTTAATACAGCACCAAGCCCGCGTTGGATTCACGCGTTAGGTGAAGATTTCCTTCCGTGCTTTCTCTGCTTCTCCCTCGCCCTCACCGTCGTCCCGACATCCTTCGTCGTTTACCTTCTTCCCGGTGAACCCTTCTCGACATACGATCCTCGGATCCCTCTTCTTCGGCAACCCTGCTCGACAGGTAAACCCTTATTCTTCGGCATTTCCTCTTCTTCTTCTTCTTCGGTACTTACGGTTTGCAGGACGGCAACATCCGCCTTGAGATTGATTTCTTTGTTCGGTCCTCTCTTGAATTCTGTAATAGTTATTTTTTATTCCTATGCATTGTTTTGTTTTTCTGGTAGGTTATATTTTTTTTTTAGATATTTATCATTAATTTGTCTTTTAAATAAACTACTTCTTCTTGCAGATATTCACCATCTATTTACATATACTCGCTGCTGAGAACTCGCTAACATCACTTTCCTTACTAACGATATGGAGCGCGGGACGGGGCTGAGCTTGCACGAGGCAGCGAATCAGGAAGATTTGGAAAACCAAACCTTGACTTTATTTAACCGGGATGCCATTGGCAGAATTGTGGAAAGAAAAAAACGAATTATGAAGAATTTAGAGATGTTCCAGCTGATTAACGGCTACTTCAAGAAGAGTGCAGCTACGGATGATTTCTTTACTGCTCTCGTGCCGAGTCTTAAAAAAGCTCGCGATTTTGTTGAACTCGTTATCAAAAGTTCTGAAGCCGCCGATGAGGACGACCAACCTCCGAAAGTGAAGAAGAAGATGAGATACGCGAAAATTCTAGATGAGTTGAGGCATTATTTTTCCGTTGGCGGCACTGGTGAGTTTGAATCGCTATACCATGAGCAATTGTCAATGCTCAGGGAGTTACAAAATCAAAAAGTAAAACAAGAAATGAAACTTAAATCAGTCAAAGTATGGAAAAAGGTTAATTGCATAAGCTTTGTCTTGGTTTATGCGACATTTATCATCAGCGCTTTCGTAGTTGTTTTTAAAGCATCACCTCGTGTAGCGGTGGCAATGGCGGTTGCCTCTTCGATTCTCCTGGGATCCATTGGAGAGTGGGTTGGTTCCATGTTGAAGGACTATGAGAACGCTCTTAAAGCTGAGATGAAACTAATTAGTATTATGCTTGATTTGACTTCTGTTGTGGGTACACATTTGGATAGCATTATAATTTCAGTGAAACAATTGGAAGATAATAGAAGATCGTTGTTTGATTATGCCGAAATTGTGTTCAAAGATGAAGATCCCGTGAGGCTCGATACTGAGGAGATGAGAAAGAAGATTGCAAAGTTTATGAAAAGCATTGAGGATTTGATGCATCATGCTGACTGGGGTAGCAAGGACATAAGAAGGGCAGAGAATGTGGTTTTGAATCAAATTATTCAACTGCCTAAATGATGATGTGGAAGCAATTTGTTAAGGAAATTTTTTTACTCTTAACGCTTAAGTGCATGTTTCTCTTTTTCCACGATTAAAATTTCTTTTATTTTATGCTTATATATTGTTTAATTTTTACCCTTTCTTATAAACTTTGACACTTGTATACATAATTTCTGAAGTTTGTGTCCTACGCCAAGCTTTGAGGCCGTTTATACCATGAAGTATTTGAATTTTTTTAACTGCTATGAACAAGCAGAATTGTTGCTGTTAGGATGCTTTAAATATCCTTTCTTCTGTTATGGGTGAAAATGTTTCAAATGCAAAGACATTCCTTGAGAATTTGGCGTTTCTTCGCTTGTTGGTGGATTTGACGACAGCGGTTCTTAGCTTTATTATGTTAGTCTTTTTGGATCAAAATTTTTTTTTTATGGAAAGCTTCTCCAATGGGTGGTTGACATCCAAACTCCTTGAAGATTTCTTTGGTAAAAGAATTATCACATTTCTATGAGCTTCCCTATACTTTATCCATTATGACAGTGAGCTATTTGAACCCACAGAAATTTGAATTAGCTATTTAGCAAGGGCTTATGCACTTGAGAGCCTCTATGTGTTGCTTTTTTTTTAGCCTTCAGGCTTAGAAATATAAATGTGATTTAACCCTTTTCTGGGTATTTTCCAATCTTCTGTGGCTGCGCACTCTTTGCTTACCTTTTAGCATCCATAATGGCTTTCTGCTGATATTCAAATTTCAGCAAGTTCTACAGATTTGTTTACCTGTAAATATGCAAGGTGCCTTTTTTTTTAACTTGATGGGCAAGAATAACTTGAAGAAGCGTACCGCTAAATAGTAATTTTCACCAATTTTTGGAGCATGTGAATGTGCGGGGATATTTGTTGGCATTCTTGCTTTGGGCAAACTATTTAGTGGGAAGTTTATTTGGTATGTTGCATTTAGTTGTTCTTGCCTCAAATCCTTGAGTCGTGAGAAATCAATGGGCAAATACCAATTGCATATGCACCACCAAGATTTTTCATGGTATATATATATGTATATGTATAAAGGGACACATATACTAAGCACCTTTCATGATTTGGGGGTCGGATGAGTAAATATTGATATTTATATTTTAAATAATTATATCTTAAATATGTAAACATGTAAGAAAAATGTGATAACCCTAAACATCCTCTTAATTTTTTTAATCTTTTTTCTATTTTCTGTTTTCTATTCCTTTATGTTCATAATGATTGATTCATTTATGCTTTGCCTATTTCTCAACTTATTTTTTAATTATAGATAACCAAAGCCAAGTTTCTGTTAGTTGTTCAGATTTGACATGAAAGGTTGAAGCCTCTCACATTTTTTTTTTATCTTGCAAATATCTTGATTAAAACTTCTGAATCGGCCGGAAACTGAATGTGAATTGATTTAGAAGATGCAATCAGGTTGACTTAGATGAGTTTAATTCGTTTCTAGAGATTCAACATGTCCTTCTCATTGGTAAAGTTTAAATTCATTTCTATAGCTGTTGAGTTTACTTGGTATGAATGGATTGTGCTTCGTCATTTTGGAACCATGAGACCTCTTTCTTGGTAATTATGAGATATCTTCTTGCACGGTGAAATAATGATGATTTGTGGAAATGATGTTGAGATATTTACATTCAAAGCATCCTATCTATATCTATTGGTAAAAGTATAATACACCGTTTTCATATTTCTTTCTAAACATAGAAAAAAAGATGCTTAGCTTCTAAAATCAAAGGCTTCAGCATATGGGCTCAACATCCAGAAAAATTTATATTTTCAGGAGAAAATTTAAAAATGTTTGAATATTATAATTACTTTCTTTTTAAAAATTGAATTACATGTGTACGTAAAATATGTGTTAGCGTTGATCCTGAAGAGATTTTGTGATGGGAACTTGGTGTCGTGGTCATTAGGTATTGCCGGTCAATGTCAGAATTTGGCGATACGATGACACTTGTGATATCTGGATAACGGGGCTAAATCTCTAGTGTGAGGCAACATACTTAAATGAGAAATGTATTTGTGTGTTGTTAGGTCATGATGGCTACTTTTGTGAGGATAGACTTAAGTTGTCTTCTCGAAGAATACGGGGATGAGGCGGATTAGACTATCTATCAGGTGAGCTCGATTCATCTATTTTGTCAGGTCGGCTCAATTCATCCACATCGGCAGGTCAGCTCAATTCCGATAAAGATGAGGAATAGAAAAACTAGAAGGAGAAGAACACAAATACACACAAATAAATTATATTTACATAAATTAATAACATCAAACAATAGATTAACTCTCGTTCATCCATCCCTCTTAACTGCAGTCTAAGGTCCCTCATTTGTTCCCTGCGATGAAACTTTACCCTTTAAATATTCATTAATGTTAATTAGCAGAACTAATGAAATAATCTAATCTTCATATTTATAAAGATTGCTTTTTGATAATTTAGATTGGTATCACTTAAATTTTTCATATTACAAAAAAAAAAATACATAAAAAAAGTCAATAGTAAAATACAGTTTTTAATGTAAAATTAAGATGACATATATATGTATAAATTAAAATAATAATATGATGTTTTTACATATATATATATATATATGCCACCTAATCTATGCATGAAAAGGTGCATTTCCCTTTTTAATGGCATTTTTTATGTGATATGAAAGATTTGGGCGGCTTTAGTATAAAAATCAAATGTTTAGGTGTTTTAGTGACATGTTTGTAAATTCTTCAAAATGGAAGAAGATAAGGAAATACCTATTATTTTGGGAAGATCATTCCTAGATACAGGAAGAGTCATGATTGATGTTTAAAGAGGAGAATTAACCATGAGAGTAAATGACCAAGAGTTAACATTTAATATTTCAAGTTAATGAAATATCCATCAATAGAAAAAGATGATAAATGATTTATAATGAAAACATGTGATTATTTGATAGAGGAATATTTCAAAGAAATACTTGAAGAGAAAACAGAGCACGAGGATTTGGAAAACAAGAATTATGATAAGATAGAAGATCACTTTGATGGGACTGATAATGAAGAAGTAGAATATGTTAAGGAAAAATTTTGAAATCCTTGATTCACTAGAACCATAAAACAAAATTTTAATATCATCTATTGTAAAACTTCCTGAACTTGAAATGAAAACTCTTCCAAAACATTCGAAGTACGTATTTTTAGGGGAATTGTCAACATTGTCAGTTATCGTATCCTCAGATTTTAATAAACTACAAGAACAAAAATTATTTGATACGCTAAAGAAATACAAAAGAACTTTATGTTGGACTTCAGCTGATATCAAATGAATTAGTCCTTTTATTTGTTTGCACAAAATTTTATTGGACAATGAACATAAACCTAGATTTGATCCGCAAAGGAGACTGAACCCAATGATGAAAGAAGTAATAAAGAAAGAAATTTTAAAATAGTTAGATGCTTGAATCATATATCTTATTTCTGATAGTGTTTGGATAAGTTCAATTCATTATGTTCCTAAGAAAGGAGAAGTAACTGCTGACATAAATAAGAAGAATGAAATAATACCAACAAGACAAGTTACTGGTTGGCGAATATGTATTGATTATAGAAAATTAAATGCTGTCACCAAAAAAGATCACTTTCCTATACCTTTCATAGACTAAATGCTAGACAGACTTGCTGGGTCAAACATTATTGTTTTATGGATGGATATACCGGTTATCACCAAATACCTATTGCTCTTGACGATCAAGAGAATACTACATTTACTAGTCCTTATGAAACTTTTGCTTTAAAAAAAAAGGTCATTTGGATCATGTAATACACCTGCAACATTTTAAAAATGTATGATTTCTATATTTAGCAATTTAATAGATGATGAAATATATGTGTTTATGGATGATTTCTCATTATTTAGGGACTCATTTAATGCATGTCTAATCAACTTACAAAAAGTTTTGTGTGAAAGAACAAATTTAGTCATAAACTGGGAGGAAATGTCAATTTATGGTTGTAGGAGGAATTGTACTATGGTTGCAGATTTTACAATAAAAATTTTATGAGCCTACTATTTTAGAGATGTTTATAGATTTATCAAATCTTGTGATCGATGTCAAAGTGTAGACAATATATCTAAAAGAAATGAAATGCCTCTAAATTTTACATTGGAAGTTGAGATTTTTTATGCTTGGGGAATAGACTTTATGAAATCATTTATTCCTTCATTTGGAAATTCATATATATTAATTGTCGTGGATTATGTATCTAAATAGATTGAGACAATAGCTTTACTCAAGTGTGATGCTAGAAGCGTTTCAAGTTTTTTAATGAAAAATATTTCACAAGATATGAAATGTCTAGAATAATCTTTACTGATGGAGGATCTCATTTAAAGAACAACCTGATTCAGTGTTTGACTGAAAAATATAATATTATGCATAGAATCTCTACATCTTATTATCCCCAAACCAATGGCTTAGCGGAGGTATCTAACCGTGAAATTAGATGAATTTTAGAAAAAAAACCATAAATTTTAGTAAATTAGATTGGTATGTGAGATTAGACACCGCTTTATGGGCATACATAACAGCTTACAAAACTCCTATAGGAATGTCCCCTTATAGATTAATCGTTGGAAAAATCTGTCACTTGCCAGTTGAATTAGAATATAAAACTTATTAGGTGATAAAGAAATTAAATTTTAATCTAAAAGATGCTGATGAAAAAAGATTGTAGCAATTGAACGAATTGGAAGAGATAAAAAATGAATCATATGATAATGATAGAATATATAAGAAGAGAATGAAAATATGACAAGATCAGAAGATTGTTAAAAAAAATTTTGAGTACGGACAAAAAATTTTATTATAAAAGACAAGACTGAGATTATTTCCTGAAAAACTGGAATCTAGATGAATATGACCATTCACTGTCATTATGTATGCAGATTAGTTAATTACTTGTACATTTACATATATAACACCTAAACTAAGTATGCAGATTAGTCAATTACTTGTACATTTACATATAAAACACTTAAACCTTTAAATTTCCATGTATAAACTATACAGATTATTAGCTTAGACCATTAAATTCTATACCTAACGCCTAAATTCAAGTATAAACCTATATATATTTCTTCAATCCAAATATATTTACACATTTAATACCTAAATTTAAATGAAAATCTACATGTCTTCTTAATTCTGAATCATTTATATATACTTAACACTTAAATCTAGACACATAATTAGGACAGTAAAAAAAGCTCGTTCTTCGCGAACAAGTCGTGTTCGGTTCGTCAAGGAGATCGTGTTCCATTCATTCAATAAGCAAACAAGACGAACACACAATTTTTTTCGTTCGGTTTGTTAAACAAATCAAACACGAACAGTAATGCGTTCAATTACCATCATTTGAAATATAAAATACTTTTAAAAAATTATATATAAAAAAAAATATGAATTAAAAAATAATTATATAGTCTAAAAATGTATCAAATTTAAAAAAAAAAAATTCAATAAATTATAATATATAATAAATTATTAATAACAACATAATAATAAACAGTATTAGTAATATAAATATTATTTATTTATATAATATAAGTTATATAATTAATATAATATATTATTTATATATACTAATATACAAACTATATTGTAAAACCTAAGCCCTAACCCGCTGTACTGTTCGCCTGTTAGCACTTCGGGCTCCATTTCGGCATTTCCCCTCTCCCCTCTCGAAAGCTTTCGGCCGGCTCTCCTTCCCTTCGTCTCAAAACCGCTAGAAGCTTTGTCTCGTCGACAGCTTAGGGTTGAATGTCTGTGTTCGTTCTCTAATCTCTACTTCTATTTGTCTTCCACAGAGTATATTTGCCCTCGGCGAGTCGACGTTGGATCGACTACTCGGTATTCTATCTTCAGTGCTCGATATTCTTGCTTAGTTGCTTGTAAGGCTACTGAGGCGTCCTCTTTGAGTATATTTTCTTTAACGATTCAAATTTATTTTCATGCTTGCCTCTTAGGTTAAATTTTCATAATTTTTGAAGGTTTATTTCCTTTTTTTTTAGTGAAACCTAGGTTAATTGTAGATCTGTTTGTCTTTATATTTATTATAGATCTGTTTTTTTTTTTGTGCGTACTGAGCTGATAAGTGAGCTCTGCTTGGGCGATCATGCACTTGTGTTGTGAGTCATACAGGCTTAAGCATTACTTTCAAACAGGTTTCAGCATTTTCGTTGCGACTCATATACAAACTACTCCTAAGGTTGCACTTCTTGAGTTTTCAACTGAGTGAGCGAAGTGCCAATGTATATGCTTGTCATCTTGATTTTTTTTCAGTTTTGGCATTTATATATTTAGGTCAAGAAAATTTTAAATTTGCACTGGAGTAGTAGTAAGATATGATGATTATTATCTCCTGCATTTAGGGAAAAAAAATAGATGCACTATTCTATGATGATTTACAGGCTTGCACCTTTTCTTATTAATCATTCATTCTGGTGTGGCCTAACTATTTGGATGGCAGAAGTATTGAAGAAGAAAATTAAGTAAAGATAAATGTTTCACAGAAAAGTACCGGAAGGCCTTCCAAGATTGTATCTCTATACTTCATAAATATTAGAAGCGCCTATGAGTCCCCTCTGGCATAGGGAGAATAATGATAGTAATAACTTATAATGATATTTCTTATGACACTTCATTATTGATAATATGGAAACTCGTCTTCTGAATGTAAATATTGAACTTTAGGGGTTAGAGATGCAAATTGGAGGCTCCAAATTGGAGCCGCTGCATCTATAATGGTTATATTATTTCAGTAAAAGTTCTGTTGATGAGGGTACATTGTCCGGATGAACATTGTTGATAGCCTCACACACAAATTAATGAGAAATTATAATGTGGGTATATAGTCCAAATGTATGGACGATGATTATCATCAAATTTACCTTATAATTCACGCATCTAAATATTTTTTTCCTCATTAAGGCCGATAAGAAGCCAGCCATGGATTGGTAATTAACTAGATTCTGTGAGAAAGAAAATGATATTAGTGCTTTTGAGGTTTATGTTACTTCTCTGTGATAGACTTTTTGTTACATGAACTTCTTCTGTTTGCTAAAGTAGACACGGTTTGTACTGAGTTTACACAATAATGGATCAATTTTACTATTTTCAATGTTGAAAGATAGATATATGGGGATGGTGTGATTATTAGATTTTTTTTATGGGCTGTTTCTTTCATAGAAAGCAATACTTTCTAGATGATGCAGGGATTTATCTGCTTATATTACTAGTCGATGTGCTTAATGTACTTCTTAGCTGAATATATAGCATGAATGCATGCAAGGCTGCAATTTCGAATCTTGGAATATATAATTAAAATGAGTGAAGTGTGCATCCTGTTGTTTCATCAATAAATTAAAGCAGGAATTTCTTGGATACCACTGGATTCATATCTATTTACATATTTAATATAAAAATTTTATCTAATATCATATGTTATTGATGGGGATGCAATAACTTTCATATGTTATCAATGTATTTTGTGCATAAACGGGCAACATTGTTTGTGCTGAAAACTCGTGAGAGTTATTGCCACTACAATGAAAAAAAGGGAGTATGGGTGAGCTGCTTGTACCGTTGTAAGCATGGGGAGAGTTATTATTATTGATAATGAGAAAAGGGGGCATCAACGTTTGTGTTGCTTGCGTTTGGGCATTAAAGCTGTTGGTTGGATTTCAAAGGGTGCGGTTTTAAGAGTCCACGGCTGAGTTAAATTTTGGTTGTTAGGTTCATTTTAATTACTGAATGCACTCTTAGTTGGCTGAAATTAAGCTTTGACGGTTTTCTTTAAACTATGCTTGCTTCAATTATACCTTTTAAGGTATAGTATTAGTTGAAATTGATGGCATTGCGTGTAGGAAAAATTCAGTTATTTCTTGGTGCTTTTAGTGCTTGCAACTATAGGCAAGTCACCATGGGCTTATGCACTAAATTTGGCTATTACTAGATCCACATAATGCAGGCTTATCATGCAGGAAAGGTCTTATCATGCTTGGGTATATCATGCTCAGGTTTTGTTTGGCATTGTCTTTTTGGAAGATTTACATACATACCATATAATCTCTGATTGGCATTGTCCCTATTTGGCTATTAATAGATCCATGAAAGTCATTTTAGGGGCTTGGGAGAGGTGCAACAACTCCCAAAATTGGTGAGAGGGCAGTTTCCCTCTCTCCCATGTCTGGTTTCAGATGCAGCAATTCCCAAAATTGGTGAGAGGGCTATTCATCCTTGTATCATAAGCAATGAAAGTTTATTCAACTGTATTTATGTATCTTGGAAGAATTATTGTGTTCGTGTATCTTGGAGGATGGATTTGCCTTCTTGAGTTGAAAATTGATAATTGCCACTGAGAACTGCTCATGATAGTTTCTTTTGCTATGCCTTTAAATTCAGTATTGAGCTATTTTAATTAACTTTTGTCAAGTTTTTACCTTTTAATTTGTTTTAGTAGGAAATTTTATTTAAACACCTTGTATAATTCCTCAAGGTAAAAAAATCTGGAAAATTTTTCAGATATCCTATTGAGATTTTTGAAGCAATAGCAAGTCACTCCATTAAAAACAGTATGGTGTAAAGGGGATTCTTCTTAATGCCGGTATCTGTGAGCTATGCAGGAACTCAATTAAAGTTCCCCACCTGGTCGAATAAATGCTTTTCATAGTTGATTTTCCATTAAAGTTCTAAACCAACTGTTTGATGTGCAGGCTGGTGGGATAAAAGCACAGTGCAGAAACTCTATCCATTGTTGATTTTCCATTAAAGGGTGCGGTTTTAAGAAGGTTTTCTAAATTGCTTTTGTAATTCAGTAAATTTTTTTTTTTGCCAATTATTATGGAACTGCTTTTGTAATTCAGGATATAGATCTTTATTGGATTTGGTAGTAGTTTGAATCAGGTAACTTGGAACATTGTCAAGCTATGAAAGGAATTCATGAAGTGAGCAAGTAGGCTTTGGTAACTTGGAACATTGTAAAAAAAAGTGACCTCATTTGGCATATATGTAATATGTATCATTTTCTTTAAATTTTGTTCGTTCGTGTTCGGTTCGTTATTGTTCGAAATATATATAATTTAAAATAATTATATATAAAAAATATATGATATTTTAAAAATAATTATATATTATAAAAATTTATCATATTTTAAATAATTAAACTTCTATAAATTATAATATATAATAAGTTATTAATAAAAATAATAATATATTAATATTTATTATATTAATATAAATATTATAATATTATAATTAATATACTATACTATATATTAAAATAAACCCTAAACACCTTATTCTCAAAAGCCCTAACTCGCCTCGTCTCCTCTTTAGCAGCTTCTCCCTCTTTCGAGCTTCCAGATCACATTTAGGCAGTTGAATAATTTGATTCAAAACCACACTTTCTGTCCTCCTTATGTCCTTGCTACGTCAGTCAGCCTGGTGCATGAAATCATCAATGCTGCATCAAATCATTAATGTTTTTCATAAACTGTCATCTTCCTCATCTCCTCGGTACCGAGCCTCACGGAATCTTCATCTTTGAACACAATTTCAGCATAATCAAGCAACGATCTTATATTCTCTTCCAATCGTTTCACTGAAATTCTAATGCTATCAAAATGTGTACCCACAACAGAAGTCAAATCAAGCATAATGCTAATTAGTTCAATCTCAGCTTGAAGGGCGTTCTCATAGTCCCTTCAACATGGAACTAACCCACTTTTCAATGGATCCCAAGGGAATCAAAGTGGCAACCACCATTGCCACCGTTACACGAGGTGATGCTTTAAAATCAACTACGAAAGCGCTAATGATAATTGTCGCAGAAACTAAGACAAAACTTATGCAACTAACATTTTTTCATATTTTGACTGATTTAAACTTCATTTCTTGTTTTACTTTTTGATTTTGTAACTCCCTGAGCATTAGAAATTGCTCTTGGTATACCGATTCAAACTCACCAGTGCCGCCGACGGAAAAATATTGCCTCAATTCATCTAGGGTTTTCAGAGGTCGGTCGTCATCGTCGGCGGCGTCAGAACTTTTGATAGCGAGTTCAACAAAGCCACGAACTTAATACTTGGTACAAGAGAAGTAAAGAAATTACTCGTAGCTGCACCCTTCTTGAAGTAGTCTTTAACTAGCTGGAACATCTCGAAATTCTTCCTAATTCTCTTTTTGCTTTCTACAATTCTGCCAAAGTCATCCCGGTTAAGGAAAGCCAAGGCTTGGTTTTCCAAATCTTCCTGATTTGCTGCATCGTGCAATCTCAGCCCCGCCCCGCACTCCATATCGTTAGTAAGGTAAGTGATGTCAACGAGTTCTCAACAGCGAGTATATGTAAATAGAGAGTGTATTTCTGCAAGAAGAAGCAGCTTATTTAAGAGACAAATTAAATATAAATATCTAAAAAGAGATATAACCCACTAGAAAAAGAAACAACACATTTATTAACGTTGGATTTTTGTTAATAAAGCACCAAGCCGGCGTTGGATTCGCGTGTTAGGTGAAGATTTCCTCCCGTGCCCTTCTCTCCTCTCCATCGCCCTCGCCCTCGCCCTCGCCGTCGTCCCGACATCCTTCGTCGTTTACCTTCTTCTCGGTGAACCCTTCTCGACATACGATCCTCGGATCCCTCTTCTTCGACAACCCTGCTCGATAGATAAACCCTTATTCTTCGGCATTTCCTCTTTTTCTTCGGTATTTACGGTTTGCAGGACGGCAAGATCCGCCTTGAGATTGATTTCTTTGTTCGGTCATCTCTTGAATTATGTAATAGTTGTTTTTTATTCCTATGCGTTGTTTCTTTTTCTGGTGGGTGATATCTCTTTTTAGATATTTATCTTTAATTTGTCACTTAAATAAACTGCTTCTTCTTGCAGAGATCCATCCTCTATTTACATATACTCGCTGCTGAGAACTCGCTGATATCACTTACCTTACTAACGATATAGAGCGCGGGGCGGGGCTGAGCTTGCACGAGGCAGCGAATCAGGAATATTTGGAAAACCAAGTCTTGGCTTTCCTTAACCAGGATGACTTTGGCAGAATTGTGGAAAACAAAAAGCGAATTAGGAAGAATTTTGTGATGTTTCAGCTGGTTAATGACTACTTCAAGAAAGATGCAGGTACGAGTAATTTCTTTAATTCTCTCGTGCCGAGTCTTAAGGAAGCTCGCAACTTTGTTGAACTCGCTATCAAAAGTTTTGACGCTGCCGACGATGACGACCGACCTCTGAAAACCTTAGATGAGTTGAGGTAATATTTTTCCGTCGGCGGTACTGGTGAGTTTGAATCGGTATACCATGAGCAATTGTCAATGCTCGAGAAGTTACAAAATAAAAAAGTAACAAGAAATGAAGCTTAAATCAGTCAAAATATGGAGAAATGTTAGTTGCATAAGCTTTGTCTTGGTTTCTGCGACACTTATTATCAACGTTTTTGTAGTTGTTTTTAAAGCATCACCTCGTGTAGCGGTGGTAATGTCGGTTGCCTCTTCGATTCCCCTGACATCCATTGGAAAGTGGGTTGGTTCCATGTTGAAGGATTATGAGAATGTCTTTAAAGCTGAGATGAAACTAATTAGTATTATGCTTGATTTGACTTATGTTGTGGTACACATTTGGATAGCATTAGAATTTCAGTGAAATGATTGGAAGATAATAGCAGATCGTTGCTTGATTATGCCGAATTTGTGTTCAAAGATGAAAATCCCGTGAGAGTCGGTATTGAGGAGATGAGGAAGAAGATGACAGTTTATGAAAAACATTGATGATTTGATGCAGCAGGCTAACCGGCGTAGCAAGGACATAAGGAGGGCAGAGAGTGGTTTTGAATCAAATTATTAAATTGCCTAAATGATGATGCGGAAGCAATTTGTTAAGTATTTTTTTTTTTTTTAACTCCTAACGCTCAAATGCATGTTTCTCTTATTCCACGATTAAATATTTTTTTTATTTTTTTGCTTATATATTGTTTAATTTTTACCACCCTTTCTTATAAACTTTGACACTTGTGTACATAATTTCTGAAGTTTGTGTCCTACGCCAAGCTTTGAGGCCGTTAATACCATGAAGTATTTGAATTTGAGGCCGTTTATACCATGAAGTATTTGAATTTTTTTAACTGCTATGAACAAGCAGAATTGTTGCTGTTAGGATGCTTTAAATATCCTTTCTTCTGTTATGGGTGAAAATGTTTCAAATGCAAAGACATTCCTTGAGAATTTGGCGTTTCTTCGCTTGTTGGTGGATTTGGCGACACGTTTGTTGGTGGATTTGGCGACAGTGGTTCTTAGCTTTATTATGTTAGTCTTTTTGAATCAAATTTTTTTTTTATGGAAAGCTTCTCCAATGGGTGGTTGACATCGAAACTCCTGGAAGATTTCTTTGGTAAAAGAATTATCACATTTCTATAGGCTTCCCTATACTTTATCCATTATGACAGTGAGCTATTTGAACCCACAGAAATTTGAATTAGCTATTTAGGAAGGGCTTATGCACTTGAGAGCCCCTTTGTGTTGCTTATTTTTAGCCTTCAGGCTTAGAAATATAAACGTGATTTAACCCTTTTCTGGGTATTTTCCAATCTTCTGTTATTGCACACTCTTTGCGGGCCTGGGTGATATTTATTACTGGGATTGCACATTTGGATGATCTGCCTTTTTTTTTAGCATCCATAATGGCTTTCTGCTTATATTCAAATTTCAGCAAGTTCTACAGATTTGTTTACCTGTAAATATGCAAGGTGCCTTTTATTTTAACTTGATGGGTTATACACAGGCATCTAAACCAATTTTTGGAGCATGTGAATGTGCGGGGATATTTGTTGGCATTCTTGCTTTGGGCAAACTATTTAGTGGGAAGTTTATTTGGTATGTTGCATTTAGTTGTTCTTGCCTCAAATCCTTGAGTCGTGAGAAATCAATGGGCAAATACCAATTGCATATGCACCACCAAGATTTTTCATGGTATATATATATGTATATGTATAAAGGGACACATATACTAAGCACCTTTCATGCTTGAGGTAGGATGAGTAAATATCGATATTTATATTTTAAATATGTAAACATGTAAGAATAATGCGACATGTATGCACATCCTCTTAATTTTTTTTCTCTTTTTTCTATTTTCTGTTTTCTATTCCTTTATGTTCATAATGATTGATTCATTTATGCTTTGCCTATTTCTCAACTTATTTTTTAATTATAATTTTATTTTTTTGAGTGCAGGTTATTCATACAAAGAAGATAACCAAAGCTAGGTTTCTGTTAGTTGTTCATATTTGACATGATAGGTTGAATCCTCTCACATTTTTTTTATCTTGCAAATATCTTGATTAAAACTTCTGAATCGGTTGGAAACTGAATGTGAATTGATTTAGTAGATGCAATCAGGTTGACTTAGGTGAATTTAATTCGTTTCTAGAGATTCAACATGTCCTTCTCATTGGTAAAGTTTAAATCCATTTCTATAGCTGTTGAGTTTACTTGGTATGAATGGATTGTGCTTCGTCATTTTGGAACCATGAGACCTGTTTCTTGGTAATTATGAGATATCTTCTTGCACGGTGAAATAATGATGAATTGTGGAAATGATGATGAGATATTTGCATTCAAGGCATCCTATCTATATCTATAGGTAAAAGTATAATACATTTTTTTCATATTTCTTTCTAAACGTAGAAAAAAAGATGCTTACGTTCTAAAATTAAAAGTTTGGGTATGAGATAAGTAAATACAAAAAAAAATAATGCTATATATGTAAATTTCTCCTAAATATAATATATAAGGAAACACATTATTTAGGCTCGAATGACTCCCCCACGCTTCCATCTTTTCTCTTCTCTTTGTCTCAACGGGTCGATATGATTTTTAAATTAATAATTTTATTTATGTTTGTCATATATAAAATAAGAAAAAATATTGCATTTAGACTGCGGACGTAGTACAGTGAAAACTTACCAATAATGGCTCACCTTGATGACATGTACAATCTAATATATGTCCCAATCCAAGAATGGCTCTAGGAGGCTTCTTTC